CAAGATGTAGATCTTTTCATCTATATTGTTAGATTCTCAGTTGACTCTTTTAATCTGAAAAATAATGCTCTCTTCTCTATTCCTCATATTCTTTGTTGAAAAATTTCTCCTCTTCTACTCTTTTTGACTCTTTTTTCCTGGGGTTCTTGTCTGTCTTATGAGAACTCCTAGCTTCTTTCTCACATTTGTAAGACAACCTATATTTTTCTCCCTGCATCCTTGGGAGCATCTTTTACTTTATTTTGAAAATTCCTAATTTTGACAATCATATTGGAAAATCTAAGTGCTAAATTTTGTTTCAATTGTGTTTTTTTGCATAGCATTCTGTTCTTGTTCTGTTCTGAGTTATCTTCATTGTTCCTATTTTTAAAATCCTTTATTTGGTTCTCATATTTCTAGTGATCCTCTGGTTGATCATTCTTTTATAGAAAAAAGATCTGGATGCCTGGCTTTGATTTTTCTCTGTTGTTAAGGATGTTTTCCACTCCTACTGGATCTACCCTGAATGAGAATGCTTGGAAGTGCTGGTGAAGGTAGTTTCACTGACAGTCTTTATGACATGGATGCACAGACATGCTATGGGCCTCTCATATGCAGGAGAATGGAGGACTTTGCACTGGGGCACAAAAATCTGTATTAAAAAATTTTAACTTTCCCTTTATAGCTTTCTTGAGTTTTTAAAAAGAACTGGTTGATGCTGGCTAAATGCTGGCTATACTCTCCTTTCACAAAGCTTGCTTAAATGTTAGTGCAGATCCAAATTGGACTACTTGTTCTATACTGAGACATTCAATCCTTCTTCTTAGTCCTATTTCTAGTCCCTGTTCTGTGTCTCTCATAATCACTGACTTTAAGATCAAAGGCTCTTGGGAGGCAAAACAGGCCAACTGGCATCCACTTGCTCTTACTCTCCTTCTAGAATGATTTAGGCTTCAGCTTTCTCTACCTCTTGTATCCATCAACATGATCTCATCCATGTGGCCTGTAAATTCATTGGAAAATCCCATTCATTAGTGATGCTCACTTCCATTCTTTTCGTTCATATGAAGTTTTTTCATTTGTTCAATTTTTATACTTTTATTTCAGTGGGGTTTCAGAGGAGTTTGAAGGCAATATATGTACTCAAAGCCAAAAATTAAATTATAACTTGAAATTACTATACAATTTCCCTATAATTTATTTAACCAGTGCCCAACTTTTGGACAAATCCTTCTAATAGTTTTCAACATTATAACTGTTTGACCTTTTTATTTGGAAAAGAGAGGTTAAAGATAGGCCTTCAGGGCAGTACATGAAATGACAAGAAGCTAAATGCCTAGTCTTAACAGAGGTAACCTTTGGAAGGAATGAACTGACAGAAAATTCAAGTTAAACCGAAGTTAGGGATCCCTTACAAAGAATTTTCATGGGCTGTTGGTTAGAATGCCATGTAAGAAGTCAAGAGCTCTTAAGAGTACTGGGAAGATTAAAAAATCTTTGTAGATCTTTGCCTGTGAAAATTGTGAACGTTCCTGATTATGTCCATAGAAAAAAAATTTAAAGTAGGATTTCTCCATCAAAGTATGTGAACACTTAAAAGTCTTGAAATTTAGTTGACAAATTTCCCCCAGAAGGGTTGCACCAATTTACACTCCTACCAACCACCAACCTTTTAAAATCGAACAAAAAATCCCACATGATTTGCTAATTTTATAAGCAAAATTTTATCTTGTTATTTTTATATACCTTTCTTAGATTATAACTGATATTGAATGTTATCTATATAATATTACACAGTGCTCAAACTGACCTTCAATAGGTATTGCTGACTTTGTCTTAGAAATGTGTAGACTGAGGCTCTGAGACCTTAAGAGTGCTGGAGTTCACACAGCTTGTACATATTTAAAAACAGATGAGAACAGAGATGTTACCTTGCCAAAACATTTCAGAACATGTGACTTACCTTGCTCATAATTTTTTAGATGGAAGATCAGATTAGTCATTTTCTTTGGACCTTAGATATAAATAATTATGTCAAATATTTTCTATTCTTTGAAACAAACGTATTTTGTGAGCCCTTTGTTTTCTGCATGCAAACGTTATTCAGAGAGGGATGTCCCTGCTATGTAGGATTATTGCACAGGGTTGCAAGAACAGATTTTCAAATGGCTCGTGGGAATTTAGCTTTCTCTGATATCTTGACATCACTTTATTTGTCCCATTGCAGTCTATGTCTTTATCCTAGCAAGTGTGAAAAAATTGCCAAGTAATACCATTTTACCAACCTAAATTCCTGATGTTTTATGCAAAAGGTCAAATACTCTTCATTCTAAACTGGTAGCATAGTCTTCAGTGTAGATTTGGAAGCTACCAGGAAAGTATGGCATACAGTGGGAGTAACATAAGTTGAACTGCTCTTCAAATTTACTTTGGCTGGACCTGAAGTATTAATTCCCTCATTCGGTCACTGCATGGAGGTTAAAAGTCCAGGATCTTAGTACTGATATGCACAATGTGGATGAATCTAAAAAATATTATGTTAAGTGAAAGAAGCCAGACACAAAAAGTCACAAATTATATATGATCCTATTTATAAGGAGTAGCCAGAATAGATAAATCCATAGGGACAGAAAGTAGATTAATGGTTGCCTGGATTTGGGAGGAATGAGGAGAAGCTGCTTGTTCACTTTAAAATGGTTAATTTTATGTTATGTAAGTTTTACCTCAATAAATTATTATTATTTTTTAATCCAAGTTCTTGAACCCAACAGACATGAAATTGGAATATGCCTCGATCATTTTCTGTGTAAACTTAGGCAAGTTCATTTTAATTACCTAACTTTAATACTTGCTTTAACACTTAAACCTGCATTCCCTGCAATCTCCTAATCTGGAAACAAAGATGACTGACAGCCTACCTACCAGACAGGATTTTTGTGAGAACTGTATGCAATGATATATTACTACATAGAGCCTTTGGTGCAGTGGTTGACACATCACAAGTTCTTAAGAAATGGTAGCTAGACTATGATAACTATTACTACTCCTGACTTGCTGTGACTACTACTATTACCAGCAGCAGCAGTGGCTGCAGGAGCTGTATTCCAACCCAGGTTCCTGATATATTCAAATGACTATTTTCCATTCTGTAGTCTGGTTTCAGGCAATTCACGTGGGGTAAAGTCACATGACATTGACTTCAGGGAGCATATATTGCCTCAATGGAGTTCTTCTTTTGAAAGATGGGTTTTAGATTAAAACTGTTTTTAATTAACGTCAAAATGGAACAGAGTTGGAGAGAGCAATGAATAAGATTCAGATCCCTAAACGATCACATTATTGGCATTCTTGGGAGAGCTGTGAACCTTGCCTCCCAATGTGTGCTATGGTTGATTTCTCCCTTACTTTTCAGTAAGGGACAGACCCTTGAAAAGGTGGTCATGCGCTGGGGAATTTAAAAGAAATGTGAGAAGAAAACAATGAATGTCCCTAAGCTTCAGAGAAGGGAAAACTTTAGCCATCAGTTGAAAGTCGTCTCTCTGTAGTGGATTGAATGTGCTACACAAAGGTGCATCTTGACGGTGTTAGGAGACCCATGTCCTCCATCACTGTCAACAATGGCATGTACAAAAGTACTTTTATTAATGAAATTCTCCAAAGAATTCAAAGCTCATTTGATGCTTTACTGATGGACATTCTTTTACCCACTCATGCTTTGGTTTTATTTGTTCTTCCTATGGGCTCCTCAAATCAAGAGAAAGCCAGAAAAAAAGTTTTGAGAGAGAAATGTCCTGTTTTATAAAATCTTCTTGTGACTACTATCTCATTTGTTCTCCTGAAGCTGAATCAAATGAGACAGAAAGCACAGCCAACATAAATACCACTTACTCAATGTGATAACAAAGGTAAAATTAGTTGAAACAACATGTTCCCCAGTGTCCAGCTTCTCCATGGAAGAGTGAGAAGTCAGAAGAGGCTGCTGATGTTATGGAAAGTGCATGGCCTTTAATGTGAGACAGTTCCAATGGACACAGATTTTCATCCAGGCCCTGTGATTAGCTATGTGGCCTTGAGCAAAACCTTAGGTTTTGGGGGCTTTCATGTCCTCATGGGAAGAATGGGGATAATAAAATCTATTTCCAACAGTTATTAAAAGCATTGCTCAATTCTGTCTAGATGAACTTAGTGCCCAGCACCCCTTTTCTCCTTCCACTTCAAGAAAGTAAGCTTCAAGAAAGATGATGTGGCAGCTTTTGTAATCATAGTAACCAACAAGTTTTTGTGCATTGTCATGGGTTAGGGAATGCTTAGTGCTTTCTGCCTATCATCGCAATTAAATCCTTACCTCAAGTCTATGTAGTAAACATCACACCCAGTTTCCGTTGTAAAACATGAGGCTCAAAGAAGTTCAGTGATTCATCCAAGACGGTTCTTCTAGAGAGCATAAGAGCTGAGAGCAAAGCCAAAGTTCTCTGACAGTGAAGCCTACACATATAACCTCCTCTGCCAGCAAAAGGTTTGAAATAGGGTCTAGCCGAAGTTTCAGTGATATCTGCAGTGAGTTGAACTAAAGCTTGGAACTATGCAATAGACACTGAGTAATCAACTTCCGGATTGCTTTCACCTGGGATCAAATTTCCAGCTTCAGAGAGACACTACATTTCTGTGGTCACTGTTCTTTTCTACCCAGAAAGTTCACTCGGTTGAGTGCCTTATCTCTGAGTCTTCATGATGGGAACACCAGCTTCCAAACAGGCCTGGCACATGTTAGCTTAATACGTGCAGCCCCACTGCATGGTGATGAGTGAGCCAGATGAGCACTGCACATTTGGATGAACCTGAGTCAAGAAAAGCCACATGCGAAAACACGTTTATTTCCAGAACAATGGTGCATCTGCCAGGGTGTGACTGGCACTCATTGATATTTTTGGCATTCGTGGAAAACACCCCAGGCCGCTTAGGTAATTAATTTCCTAGGGTTAGTCATTAACAGGCTTCCTGCTTTCCTTCTCCTTTGGCAGGCCCAGCTGTTAGATACAGTAAGTTCAAGATGTCAGAGGCCAGGCCGCCTCCCCTGCTTGGGCAGCACACAACGCACATCCTGAAGGAGGTCCTGAGGTATGATGACAGGGCCATCGAGGAGCTGCTCAGTGCTGGAGTGGTGGCCCAACATGAAACCCACTGACAAAGGAAAAGGGCTCCTCCTCATAGCCTTAATCCGAATACACTGGCAAACGCAACACTATGCTTGGACCCTTCTCCCCAGTTCTGATACCACCAAAAAGAAGATGCAGAGTAACTCCAGAATTCCTGCATGGTGTCTCCAGAATGGGTCTGGTATTAATGAATCTAATGCCTTTTAAATGTACCCTACTTTTGCTCCCTATGACTTTTTTTTCAGATAACAATTTAATTATGGATTTGTGGGATTTTTAAAAATAAAGATTTGAATGTTTTTCTGGAAAAATGCATTCTTCATTCTAATTACATTAACGTCCTAAACGTTTGTCTCCAGCCCCTTATGCCCCTACCCCGCCAGTCCACACAGGCCTGAAAAAGAGCAGATCTCTTGATACTTTCTACTTGTCCATAAAATCTGCATTTAAATTTGTGTTAGAGAGTCAAAGCAATAAGCAGAATGACAGTCTCTGTGATTGATTTTAAACAGAATAACTTAATTCTGAGCTCTTGAACCCTTTGTTAGTCTGTAATTTAAACCATGGATTTTGCTGATGTCCATTATAAGACTGAGCTCCATTCTCCCCTGCAGGGGTAAATATTTGCTTTATGTTGTATTTCTCTGGTGATTTTATGCTATGTGGCAGAAAATCAGTTTTCCCCAATGCATTTAGAGATGTAGGTATCTGTCTGCACAGGTAGGTGAGTAGTTCTACACTTGGTACCTTATTTTGAGCCCAGTGAAAATGCAACAGATTTTTTAAATGAATTAAACAAGTTCTTAAATGACTATCCAGGTATTAAATAATTTATACATGATAGCAAATAGAAGAATGACAGGAAGACACTGCTTTGTAATCTAAGCATCCACTGATTGAAGACTAGATTATGTCTTAGCTTTGAATATTTTAATGAATTTGAAGTATAAGAAACATCTCTGTTCAGTAAGTGAGAAATGATTACGATATATTCCAGGATAAATTGTTACTCAAGACTGCTAAGCCCAGTTATAGACCAGGGATCAGATGACCCCATGATCAGTTTATCTTATTCTGAGATAACCTCAACTCATGGTTTTTAGGTGCATCTATTTTAAAGCAATGTCATTATACACCAAGTGGTAATTGAAAACTAAATTACAAATGTTCATCTTTCAAACTGTGATTTAAAACTCATTTTCTTTTCATATTCTTCTTTATTAGAATGATTTGAGTCCTTTATCTATGCTGTAAGGCCCATGGTGTTTCTAGAACGAAGGATTCCAAACAAACAGGAAGCTTGCCTTCTCACAAGGCCTCCTGACAGCTTTCCAAAGAATGTTTACTAATTTTTGAAACAGTTATTGTCCTCTCTGCTTTGCTTTTTGTGGACAACTTATTCTGAAGAACTCCTGCAGTTATTCCACTAGTTAGAATCACGTCATACAAGGGTAATTGATGCCTTTTGCAGTGCTTTTCCTCCATTGGCTAATTCACAGATGCATACTCAGAGACATTTACTTCAGGCCAGGTATTGAAAAGACATTTCTTTATGCTTACACATTTAGTATGAAAAATGGTAAAAGATTAGATGGTAGCAAATTGGCAAAAACCACATGTCTTGAAAGATAGACCCAATCATTTCTTCTACTGATCTGGGTAGATATCTTGAAATGTAAATTTACCCAGTCACTGAGCAGACTCTAAATATCTGGGTAAAGATATGCAGGATGATCATGATCATTCGTAGGGGACAGAAAATTTGTCTGAAATTTTCAAAATTCGTCTAAAATGTTCAAATCCATGTAGACTGCAGTCTTCAGACATGATGCAGTCACCATTGAAACAGAAAGACTATGTCTCTAGTGAAATAATATATGTTTAGTATCTAGGTCTCCACATACGCAAGTCAAAATGATCCAGAACTTTGAACCTACTGGTCACCCAAAAGAAAGCATTTATTGTGCTCTACTAATTTAGTGAAAGAAATAACTTGGAATATATTTGAAGTTCAGATGAATAATTAGTCCTGAAAGAAACATCGTGCTTGCTAAAATTTCTAACAATATGCCCCAGATCAAGTTATGCTTATAAACAAATGTGCTGTTTTAATTATCAGGGCCTATTATCTTACACATTCCTGAAACAGAGCACACTGCTAATATACCATATGCTCAAGTTCAGTTTGTGTCAAGGCCTGCCTTCTGGCAGGTTTGTGTCTAAGGTTGACTTAGAAAATTTTCTGAAACATAGTGGGCTAATCGTTACAGAATTGGAAGTGTGTCCATAAGCAAATGAGCTTCTTTTTCTTGTTTTTTTCTTCAACTTTTTCATGATTTTCAGACTAATCAAGCATGGTATTTTCCAGAAAGCAATCTGATATGCTGAATGCTTCTCTAGGAGAAGAGAAATGAACATTGATTAACTTTGTGTGACTACCCCAATTACTTGGTGTGAGCATGTGTTTGATCCATCTCTTTGGGTGAGAAGTACAATCATGATTTAAGAAAACAAAGAGGGGCCAGGCATGGTGGCTTATGCCTGTAATCCCAGCATGTTGGGAGGCTGAGGCTCCTGGATCACTTGAAATCAGGAGTTCAAGACCAGCTCAGCCAACGTGGTGAAACCCCGTATTTACTAAAAATACAAAATTTAGCTTGGCCTAGTGGTGGGTGCCTGTAGTCCCAGCTACTTGGGCTACTGAGGCAAGAAAATCTCTCGAACCTGGGAGGCAGAGGTTGCAGTGAGCTGAGATGGCACCACTACACTCTAGCCTGGCTGACAGAGTGAGACTCCATATCAAAACAAAGAGGGTTTTATAGATGCTAGTTTATACCAAGACATTCGGCTGGATAGCACCACAAGGCAGGGCTTTGGCATGAAGTCTTCACAACTCCTGCCCTTGGAAAGCTTGCACTCTCTCATATCTCATCTGAGTTTGATATTTTACCACTGACTCTTCTGTGCCAAATGTTTGGCATGTTGTGTTTTAAAGGCTTTATAGATATGAAACTTGCTGGTCCCACATGGCTCAATGCTGCATTCATGAGTAGGATTCATACTCCAGATAATGGACCTAAAGAGTCTGAGAATGAAGGCCAGGTTCAGGCTGGACAGACTGTGCAGATCTTCAGCCTCTCCTCATAACTGTTCACCATGGATTCTCAATTGGCAAAGAAGTCGAGTAGGAAAATGCACACTCTTGCCTCCATACTCTAACTCTGGACTATTCATTTTCAAACTCGTTTCCCAAGATTAGGATAGCCTCCTTGCATTTGCTTCTGTGCATGGGAGATTTCCTGATATAGTGAGCCCTTCTAATTGATGGAATTCTTGAGGTGCAATAGGCCTAAAAAATAATTGCTCATCTTGATTATAGTATGAGTGATCTTTAGGAGGTCAGGATGTCAATCTCACTCCTCTTCCTTCTTGATCTAGTGGTACTAGTACTAGTGTATGTGTTTGATAAGGAATATGAAGAGATTCAGAAAAAAGGTACATATTTCCATTTCAGACAGCAATAAGGGAAAATAAAAAACCCACCACAGAGGCTCTTACATTGCAATCTAAAAGTTTTCTCAGGCATGGGATACAATTGAATTTCTTCTTCTTATCCCAGAATAACAATACTCGGGTTAAAAGTTTCATGAATTACTGCTTTCATAAGATGCTTAAGTAGTTGCTCTGTATAGACACACCATGCCATTTGCTGAACATGAATGGCCCTGAATGTTTCTTTCTTTTTTTTATTGCATTTTAGGTTTTGGGGTACATGTGAAGAACATGCAAGATTGTTGCATAGGTACACGCATGGCAGTGTGATTTGCTGCCTTCCTCCTCATCACCTATATCTGGCATTTCTCCCCATGCTATCTCTCTCCAACTCCCCACCCCGCAAATGTTTCCTTCAGCATCTCAGTTAACTAGGCTCTGTTGCTCAGACTGGAGTACAGTGGTGTGAGCTTCACTCACTGCAACTTCTGCCTTCCAGGTTCAAATTATTCTCATGCCTCAACTTCCCAAGTAGCTGGGACTACAGGCGCACACCACCACTGCCCAGCTAAGTTTTGTATTTTTAGTAGAGACAGGGTTTCACCATGTTGGCCAGGCTGGTCTTGAACTTTTGACCTCAATTGATCCACCAACCTTGGCCTCCCAAAGTGCTGGGATTGCAGAAATGAGCCATCATGCCCAGAATGCCCTGAGCTTTTAAACAAGGTGGACAGTATGCAGGACAGGCTTACGTGGTGGGATTAGTGGACCAGAAGCAACTCCACTAGACATGTTTCCCCCAACACCCATTCAAAAATATGTCTTCCAGTATCACTTTAGGAGGTTAAAGTATTACAGGCAAAGGAATGCAAATACTTTGCACTAATACATTTATTCCACACACTAGAGAAAACAAGTACAAAAAAGGAGAGATTTGGAGGAATGGGAACTGGAATAGGCAAATTTGATCAGGAGGAAAGGGAAAGAGAGAGCACATCCAAGAGCAGCAGATCCAAGGGCACATTGCCTTGGAAGACTCTGGAAGCCACAGGCAGGATGAACCCAGACTAATATGTTGGTGCCAAGACGGAGGGGCAGGCACTAGAAAGAGCTCAAACACTACTGAGATCACAGAATTTACTCACCTCAATTTTTCACAAGAAGCAGCTCTTTTTTCTCATTCATTACGACCTTAGGGTTAGAAGCACAGGACAGGAAAGTCGCTTCTTTGCAACGTGAACAATTTTTGCCTCCCCACTCTTCCATTTTCACCTCTTTCTCCCTTTGTTCTGATTACTCCCATTCTTACCTGTCTTTTTTCCCATCTTTTGAACATCTTTCCTTCACTCTCCTTCTCTGTGGTAAAAATCTTTTTCCTCCTCTCCTTTTATTTTCCTACCTCTCCTCCTCCTCTTTCTTCTCTCCTTTCTTCATCTCCTCATCCTTTTTTTTCTCTCTCTCTCCACACACAGACATGCACACAGAGTTATAGATTCATGTTGTACAAATGTAAATACCAAAACCTGTGTCCAACCTTCAGAAAAAAATAGGACTTGCTCAGTCATTAGGAAGATAACTATTGGTAATTCGCACCATGATTTCACCCCCACAAGCAATCTTGAATCAATCTCTAGGTGGGGCAGATCTTTAATAACTAGCTGCCACTTCTTGTCCCTTGAAACAGAGGGAAAGAAATGAAAGGGTGTTCAAATGCCACTCTGGTCTGTGGCAGAGTTCTCAAGCATATTGGCTCTATGTCACATGCCCCCAGTTCTAAGGGGGAAAACCTAAAGTAAATAAAATAGAATGCAGAGCAGAG